CTCTAGCCTTTCCCCTAATAAGAGTCTACCATTAACCTAATTTTGCCTTAAAACCTGATTACTAGATGCTTAGAAATTGAAAAAGTAAACAAGAGATATTTAAATTGGAAATAAGGTGAGATATGTATATAATAAAAAAATGATATTTATGACAGTCAAAAGTACTTTAACAAGATCAAATTTTTAAAAAATAGTTTCACTATTTTTACTAGATATAGATTCTAAGGTTTAACGCTTTGTGGATTAAAATAAAGATTGCAAAATATTTATTTTAATCTTCAGATGAAAATCTGTGATGTTTCATGATTAGTATCTATGCAATGATTATTGAAAACTAAAGGTTTGATCTTTACAGTTATCAGAACAACAAAATTTAATAAGCCATTTTATTATCAAATCGAATTTCTATCAATAATAATTTTATTGATCATTATGTCTCCCCTTTTGATAAGTTTAATAGATACAATATTTTTCCAACATCAAGCACGATTAGAATGTAAAGGATTTAAATTTCATTTCATTTCAATTGATAATGAGTTTTATTTATATTTTATCACAATTTATTAATTCTTCATAGTTACATAGTTCATCTTAATCTTGAAAACTTTCCATCTTTCATTGAGGCTACCAACCATCAGTCCGCAGTCAAATTGAAAAAGAATCATAATAATATTACCGAAATGGTTGGACGGAGGTCTAAGCAACAGACAGAACGATTTAAAAAAACAATTAGACCTTCACAAATTTCCTAATTAGCTAAAACAAAAAAAGGTATTCGCGATAAATTTTACCTAGTGCAAGACCTAAAAAAAGGAATCTTTTTAAGCTAAGACCCTAAAGAATAAAAAGCATAATTTAAAAAGTTGATAGCTGATGAGCTCCTTGAATGTAAAAAAAGGGGTTCTCAGCTTAAACTACTAATAAGAGGTGAAAAATTTAATATAAAAACCTTTCTCCTAGTAATCTCATAAATAATAACTTTATTTTGAAAGAAAAAATGAGATCATTTTTTCAAATTTTATTCTCAATCATGATGAATTAAGTTAAAGGAGATCAAAGAGCCTTTCCTTGCATTTATTAGCATAATTAACTTTATAAGCTAGTTTAAGGAGTAAGAGGGATTTGGCCATTTTAAAGATGGTCTATTTTGCAACAAATTAATCCTGAATAAATCTAAAAGAGATTTTATGATTTAAAGATCTGCGTGTTAGAATTAAAGAGAGTCTTTAGATTACATAAGAATACAATCGTTGATGGCCTGTATAATGATCCCCTCTGAGTAACCTAAAGTTATTTTAATAGCTGTACGTTTCTCCTAGTCTCCAAGTCTTTTATCTATTTCAATATTTTTAATTATTAAGAGATCTATTAGGTTGTTTAAAGCTTAGAGACCACTAGGAAAGATTAAAGTCTAAAATCTGAGAAAGTATATTCTAACCCACTTAAATTCTTGAGTTTCATTTCTAAATCAATTATTCCATAAAACTTAGAAATACTTCTCATTAGCGCTTCTATAAAATTTATATTGATGGGACTTTCATAATATTCCTGCCTTATATTTCCAATTAATTTAATATAATTTAATTTAAATCAATTAAAATTATAATCAAATTTTGGTGGCTTAGGGTAATTGATCTTGGGAAAACATTTTAACGCTATATTAAAAGATGTAACAAAATGAATGGTATTTTACGTCCAATATTAATCGAAACACTATCATCTTTAGAGTTAGGAAATTCTCTGAAAATAAATAATGAAATTTAATTGATTTGAAAGATAATATAACCTTTATAGGTTGGAACTGCTATATTTTAAATATATTGATAAAAAAAATGCGCTTTTTAAAAGGAGCCATCCTAGACCGATATTATTAGAATTTTTTTTGAAAGAAAAATGATGATCAACTTGTTTTAGGTTTAGGTTGCTCCAACTAAATTTAAGATTTATTAACTTATAGTTAGTTTATAGCGATCCGTTTTAATTATTTTTTCAAAGCACTGCCTAACTAAATGAAATTTGAAAAGAGCT